AAATGGCAGATGAAGGAAATTCAATAAGAGAAAATAAGAACCCAGAAGAGGCAGCTAAAATACTACTCAGAGGAATAAGTGTTTTTTAAAAATGAAATTTCTCAATTAAGCATTCAAATAAAAATTGTAGGAAACAGAACAAGAGAGTAGATAGAAGATAAAATAATTAAGGATTTAGTAAAATAAAACAGATATCAAATACTTAATATTAGAGTATGGCATATGCTATTATTATATTTTCCCCTGCAACATATACCATGCCACCGATTCTTCTTAATAATATATAACTAACTCCTCCAGTTTGGTCTGTGTCACTCCTTTTTGAAACTGAGTAGAAATCGTTTACAGCGTCCTCCATAGGATAATAATACAAATGATGCTATGTGACTTCCAGAGATAGGTCATAAAATTCTAATGACTTTTGAAATTGTGTCCTCATGTTTTGCAATTGTATGCATTGGACTCAATACACAAGCATACTAATATTCATATTCTCCCATTCATATCACTCATGATTAAATATTTCTGATAACTCATAATCTGTGTTTTTATCAAGCATCTCATGAGGCTCATGTGTTTGAGAAGTCACATATATATGTAATTATATTGTGTGTATATATCTGTACATATATATATATATGCACACACAAATATATTTAAATTTAGCCACCGATATCTGTTATTTTGTCATCCTGACCTCAGTGGTCTTGGGTGAAAACAAAGAACATCAGAAAGATGTTTACCTGGTTTTTTGTTAATGATGACAAGGCATTTGATTGTACAGATCATTAACAAACTATGGATAACATTGCCAAGAATGAAATTCCAGAAAACCTAATAACCTGTGGACCTGTCCACTAACCAAGTGGCAGTTTTTGACCACAACAAAGGAATACTGCATGATTTAAAATCAGGAAATGTGCAAGACGGAGTTGTATCGTTTCACCATACTTATTCAATCTGTGCTCTAAGCAAATAATTCTAGAATTTGTACTAAATGAAAAAGGATGCAGCATAAAGAATGGAGGAGGATCCACTAACTATCAATAATATATAGATGACACAAGCTTGCTTGCTGAAGGGAAGAGGGTTTCAAAAAAAACACTAAAGAAGATCAAAGACTATGTTCAGTGTGGATTGTAACTCAATGTAAAGAAAACAAAAATGCTCACAACTGGACCAATAGATATCATCATTATAAATGGAGAAAAATTGAAGTAGTTAATGATTTCATTTTACTTGGATCCACTATCAACTTGTAAGCAACTGTCAATAAGCCAAAGGATGTATTGCACTGGGAAAATTTGTTGCACAAGACCACTTAAACATATTCAAGAGCCAAGATATCACTTTTAGGAACTATGGTGTGCTTGGTCAAAAACATGGTATTTTGGATCACTTCATATAGGTTCACTATGAGTCAGACCTAACTGGATAGCATATAATGACTCTCGCTCATAAACACATACACAATTGCCTTTAATTATGGCAATAGGATATATTCCTTGGCATGTATTAGAATATTGAACCAAAAAAAACTTACTGGTCAGGGTTTATTCCAACTCTCCCAATTATTGTTAAATTGATTGTACTTTATGTTATTTTATACCAGTAACCTTGCCCATCCACACTCAGTTTCTACATATCTAGAATGGTAATAATAGCACATCATCAGAATGAGAGTGTGAAAGAACAAATATGCATGCTAAATAACTCTGGATTATTGCTTCACATAAAGGTTGAATATTTCTAACAAGTTTAATAAATTATGTAATTTGAGGTGTGACAAAGATCCAAAGCAACTAGGCGAGAGGGCACTGCTTAGCCAATATTTCAGAAAACTGCATTTGCATCCAAGAAGGACCAATAAGTTCCCATTAAAAAAGGGCTAGTTGTGCATGGTTAATTGGGTGGGGGTGAGGGTGGTGGGTGGTACAGGTTGATGTTGCTAAAATAACTCACAGCTGAGAATCAGAAAATGGAACTCAACCTAATGTCATATTTCTGATATGTAGAAAAGCAAAGAGAACGATTCTCTGGAGACACCACAGTGATCTCCACTTCCTCCATGAGAGACTGTCCTCCTCCTCAGTCTCTATTTTAATGCTGGGTTTTGTTCTGATTTTGACTCACTGCCATTGAGTTGATTTTGGCTAAAGGTGACTCATGGCAAATTTTTAGGCTACAGTAGAACTGCCCCTCTCTTTATTGGAGCAGAAAACCTCATCTTTTTCCTGTATTGAAATTGGTGGATAACTTGTGTTGCGCAGCCCAATGTGTAACCCACTACGCTAGGTGATCTAGGTTCTCTCTCCAGTTTGGAGAGAAAATAGACCATTAGTATGCTTACTGCCATAAAGGGCTGAAATGTAACAAGTCTATGTGCTGGTTCCATATAACTTTTATACTCTGGAAAGAATATTTGCACCTGGGAGGAGAAAATAAGTATACGTGTGGTTCGAATTCAGCCATTACCTCAAAGAATGTATAATATTGGCAGAATTTATGAAACAATTTTATTTATATATTTTAAAAACAAAACATTTTTTCTCTTACAAACAACTGTATATAAAAATATAAGGGCAATCACAGAATTTTATCACAGAAAGCCTCATGATTCAGTAAACCATCTAAGCACTGCTAGCTTCTGTTATAATTTACATTATTCAAAGCTTTTGGAGAATTGTTTTGGTAGCACAATTATTAGTTGTTCAATATCCCACTAAATATTTAGAATGCTTAATTGAATATTAACCTTTATTTTGTTCAATACATGTTGACTGGTACTAATCATTTTTTTGGGGGGGAGTGGGAATCCTCTAGTTCAAGGTTTTATATTAGTGGCTTCTGTTTTCCTTTAAAGTCAGAAAAATGAAGGTTCTGAAATTAATTGGCATAACAAGAAATCAACAGGGTAAAGAGTAATTTCGGTGATTCTTCTTGGCTTTGTAATTATATTCAGTACACTTGATGAAGTAAGCAAATAGTTCAAGCAAAATCATTAATTTCCTTTATATCTGCACAATTTTAATTAGAAACATTTGATTAGGCTTGGCTAAAGATTCTCAAGAAGATTAAAGAACACAAATTTAAGCAACATATATACTAGGAAATGTATTTTCACTATTTTCTAATATAAAAATAACTGACAAGTTGTAGGTATTTCTTGAAAAACATTGTTGTCGAAATTATCTTTTATCGAAAAATTTATTTGAAAACAAAATTCTCTCAGGATCCACTAGTTGCTAAGCTTTTACTATTTTAATTATTATAATAAATAAGAAGCCATTTTAGTATATTCACTGAATTTCATGTTATGTCATAATAAATGTGTTTGATGTTCTTGATACTATTCACCACTAGATTTTTTTCAACCTTTCATTATCAGGAGCATTTCTGACTTGAATTAAAATGACATGTAAATATGCAAGCTCATTTCATTGTGCAAAATTGTTACATTTTTGAATTCAAACAGCTTTTTCACCTGTGAAGACTAGCTGATTGTTTCCAAATGAATACTAGTAGAACTCAAAGGATTGTTTTAGATAGTACTCTTTTCTTCCACAAACATTTAAGAGTAGGAAATATGCAAATGTAATAATTTTTCAACTTAAAAAAAAATGAATTCCACTTGTAACTTGATTTATCTTTATTTGATGGTAGTTCACCATGTTTCCCAAGTGAAAAAAAGAAAGTTATAGTATTTAGTTCCCTATTAGCAATAAAGTCCCTGTACGGTTCACCAAATATTTGCTACCAGATTTGTACTTTCCTATCAAATAATATATAATGATAAAGATGAAATTAAAATTTTTATCTTTCATAACCACATATGAGGACTATATTCCTTATTCCCAAAGTATTGGAAAATACATTTAAGTTTGTGTTAGTCTGGGTAGACTAGAGAAGCAAATTCCTGGAGACTCATATGTGAATTAGTAAGCGTTTATATACAAGAGCAATTGAATATTGAGAAAACATCCCAGCCCAGTCCAGATCAAGTTCACAAGTTCAATATTAGCCCATAAGTCCGATACCAATCTAAAAATCCTTTTCAGACTCACGAAACACATGCAATGATACCAAAAGTGGAAGATCAAGGCCAGTGGGTGGGAAGTCTTGTGGATTCAGTGGTGGTCTAAGCATCTCAGC